TTTCTAGGTGACAAAAAATATGAGGAGGATTTTTCCACCTCTTCTCTAAGTATATTAAGCTCTTATTCCATAATGACTGATGCGTATAAACATAAGTTGTTTTCCTATTTTATTGGTTAAATCTCTGGAATACCTCACCAATCAATATCTACGAGGCCACCCCTGTTGGCGATACTCCGCTTGACACGCTTGGCGAACTGAATTCCGTCTTCTCCAGGAGCGGCTTTCACACAAGGAAGATACCATACATCGACCACCATAGCCCAGGAAGTCATTATTTTTATTAGATAGGCCAAAAGACTGTCCTTGCTGCTGTTCCAGAAGCAGTCGGCAAACCTAGGGTCGTACTAAAAGTTCAATCAGTATTTAATACAAGATAAACTAAAGGGAAAAAGAATGTAGTTAGTTGGAAAAAGCCGATTAAATATTTAAATAGGCATGATGTGGAAAATAAGGTGGATAGTACAAAAAGTATTGATAAAATATATATGATTTTTTAATGAGAAATGAAAGTATATGTAGAGAATCATTAGTTTAGATTTTTGAGAAAAAAATGAAATAATTTTAAAAGGTATTAGGATCAACAAAATAAAATGTAAATTTGACGAAGCAATTGAAAATACACTAAAACATAGGAAATAATAGCTTATAAAGATTAGGTTTAAGATGATTGTATAGAGCACGAAATTTTACAAATAAATATACAATAATTAGCTCAATAAAAGAGACAATAAAGAGAGATCGGGCAAAAGCTTGAGGAAATAAGTGGAAAAATTGGGGTAATATCATGAAGAAAAGTAGCGGGTGAAAATAGGAGAAACAAAACTAAATTGGTTAGGTTATAAGCCTAGCTTAATAGCATGTAAAATAAAAAAATCTGAGCTAACTGCATCGAAATCCAATGTCAAAATTCAATTGTTCATAAAGGCGAAGTTAGACAGTCAAAAAATCTACTCAACTTTACGGAGAGAAGCATGTTTAAAAATATCCTACAAGGCTCTAGTGCCTATATTTGTATGGTGGAAGTGAATTTCTATGTTTATTATATGTTCATCAACTCAAATTTCTGGAAGGATAGATATAAGATTTGCTTGTACCGTCAAATCGACACGTTACTGAAGTAATAAGAGTAGCATAGTCGAAGTAAAATAGAATCGGGAATATAAAGAGAGTACCTAAAAGTTATTTGGTTTCTATTATAATACTGACAATTCCGTATTTCATCACTCTGAAAGATAAATATAAAATTTCCCTATGAATAATAGCCATACACTTGTCAGCCAAAATAAACCTATATAGCCTCGAAAGTGATATGTGTTCATTAAATCATTAATGATTAGAAATATAGTAAACCGGGTAGTGTTCGCTATTGTGCAAAGCGATTCTTATTGGGACCAAAACCATGATTAGTTTCTAAGACAGAAGCATTGTAGAAATATGGCAAATCAAAATTTAACTAAAAAAACAAGTCAAATAGTAAATGACTGAGCCGACTGTAGCTCATGGATTTAGTTGATTATTAAAATAGAAGGTTAGATGAAAAATTTCCACTTTAAGCCAATTTTGGCGCAATCGAATATAAACTATAGAATAAAACGTGCCCCCAAAGATTTCAATATCTTATCAAAGTTTAAAAAACATAGGGACATAGCTCCCGGTCAAAAAAACAGAGAAAATGTATTATTTATCATTCGAAAAGACTCGATACCAATGGGAGGAACTGTAGCTTTATGCTAATAAATTCTCGATGCTGTCCTGCAACTACGATCGATTACATTTGTCATGTATCAGTTTCGGACATCTAGGCATGTTTATATTTGTTTGTTCCCAAGTTCGTTGCGCGTATGCAATCAACATGAGTCATGTCAGATATAAGAGTCCTGACCAGATCTGAAACTAATCTACTAAAAGAAAGGATTACCAAGGATTAGAAATGTACGAAGAGAAACTGGGTTTCGATAAATCTCCTGAGGTTGTCCCTCTAAGATTAATTGTAAGTAATAAAGGAAGTGTGATGCATAAAATCTCACGTTTTTTATGCATACGACTAAAGAAATCTGCCAAATTTTGGCTATATTCAGTTAAAAATAATTATGATTCTGTGAAATTGATTTATCAGCAGATACTTTCCTAGGAGAATAGGCTAGTAAGTTTCGATGTTATGTCTATCCACACAAACACTTATGTCCAAGGAGCTATTCAAGCTCTGAAACAAACTCTGGAGGAGCATCCAGAGGTAACAAAATGAATGAGGTTGAACGTAGGTTCCAAAATTAGATTTATTTACCTTATCTTGAATAGCACATATTTTACCTACAATGGCAAATTATACGAACAAACACAAGGACCAGCGATGGAATCTTGCCTGGCTC